TGGAACGTCTCTGGTGTTGAGTAATGTTGGGGGGGGGGGGGGGGGAGGGAGGTGCGCAACGCGCGATTCTCGCGAATCATCGCCGTACAATGGGAGGCGACCAATCATCGACCGTTAAATCGGCATTAATCCCCAAGCGAATTTTTTCGCGTTTTCTCGTTCTCCTTTTTTTCACTCTCCTCCCCCGTCCGATGCGTGATCGACAGTGACGTTGACATGGCGATCGGCCGAGGACGTATTGACGTTGACGAATACGTCGAGTGTGAGCGGCACCGGGGTGTGCTCCTCTCATCTCTCCCTCCCTTCCCCTCCCCCCCCCCGAAAATAAAATCGTCTGTTCTCTCGCGCACCATCCGCTTCTTTGCCTCGATATCGAAACTCTCTCGCGGTGCTCCACCAATGCCAACGACCCGTAAACCCGATGGCATGATATTATTTTTGTACTCCAATCCGTCCCACCCTTCCTGCCTCATCCCCCGACGTTATTGATGTCGGTTAGCATTCCACGAAGCATTTCGGTAAGAAATATATCCGTCGAAGCGTGGAAGAACGGTAGAAAGACAGTATTTCCGGAACAGGATTCTCGTGACAGAATCAAGGATCACGTTAGATTCCTCTCGTTACGCATATCAAATGTACAATTGAAATTCCGGGGCATATTGAAATTTACGATCTCTGAACGCATGAATGAAACAAAGATATTCCATTCTACCGAAAGTCGCGGTAAAGATAAATTAACACGTACCTATTATTGCTCCAAAGGAATTTTAAAAAGGAGTAAGATATGGTAGATAAAATATTTGCGCTTCTTCTAAAATATACAATATTAACATTTATGGATGTAATGCGAGATTCATTATTTTTAAGTTAAAAAAAATATATATTACAATATCGGGAACTGAATATAACAATAAACTGCACGTATTTCTGGTTGCTGTGGTCATATCATATTATATGTGTTTGTAGTTCTGATTTGTTTGGCGTTCTGATTTTTCGACAAGGCTCTTTCGCATAGAAAAATATAAGAAAAATACGCGATTTTGCGAGTTCATTCAATTTGAACTTAGCCGTCCTTCTTTGCTCGCAAAACTAATTTGAATTTGTCTCTATTCCGACGGTGGTGCTCTTTTATGAGCACGAAAGCACAGGTTTCAAATGTTTGTTCGCGGAGAATGAATGGGGTTCGAGTTATGTGGCAAAGACATAAGAAAAGGGCGAAGACGAACGAGGAGAGAACAAGCGCGCGTAAAGTACAAACGAAGCATTGTCGAGATTCAATATACGTTCTGTAAATCTGCGAGTTATAACGAGAAGAGGAGGGAGGACGACAACGATGATGACGAACTTTGTGATAAATGAAATCCCAAGCGAAATGAGCGCGTTGAATATCGAAATTAGATAAGAGAAGAAGGAAAATGTGCGCGTACGAAGTATAAGCCACGCGGAAACGAGCGATATCCATCCTCCTCGCCTCTCTCCACGATTTCCGGTAAGAACGATGCGCGAGAAATGATTTCGAAAGAAGAAAAAACGATGCGACGCGCTCTTGTTCGCGATGAGGAAAGGAAAGAGAGCGGCGTGATTCCGACGGGGAAGATGTGTCATGTTGAGGTAGTAGTCTGCTCAGACGGAGGTGTGGGAAGAAAAAGAGAGCGGAACACATCTCTACGCCCATTACGATCTTGGTACACTAAATCTTTGCCACTCGTGGACACGCGAGCATTTTTCACTTGCGCGCCGGGCTTGATTTCCGAAAGAACGACCCGAGCCAACCTGTGGAGCTGTTTTCGGATGTATAGACGCGTACAAGGTGCCCAGAAAATGTCACGAGACGGAAGTGGCGGTCGTGCGTGTCTCTGAGAAAGATTTAGTGTGGGTATGCAGCAACCGCGAAAAAGAAAGAGGGAGAGAAAGCCTCCCTTTTGTCGAAGTTCCATTTTTAGTTTTACACGGGTAAAGCTATTTCAATTTTTTTTACTGTACAAGTCGCATAATATATGAGCCCCGTCGTTGTCTTCCGCCCCGCTAATTTACATCATCGACCACTCTCGTTCCAGGGAAACCGTTTCCTGTGCGCAACTGCACCCTGGCGAACCAGACATATACCAGCGTGGAGGTGAAATGCGTGCCTGGATACGACGGTGGACTGCCGCAAAAATTCGTCCTGGAGGTTTATCACGGCGATGTCGACTACCTAGCCAATAGCCAGCCCCTCTACAATGTTTCCAACCCGGACGAGCCATCCTTCGCTCTCGCCGGATTGGAGGCCTCGGTGGAGGCTGGAGTCCACGTGGCGGTTTACGCGGTAAACGCCAAGGGTCGAAGTCAACCCGTTATCCTCAGTGAGGTCACGTATCGAGATGCTGAGAAGCGTACCGGTAAGTAAGAGTTCAGGAGTAACATTTGATTATCGCAAACACATTTCACTGCATGTCAAATTAAATCGGCGATCCATTATTTGATCGGCTACGTTCTATTCGCTATTCTGATCGAACTGCAGACTTCTATAATTGCTTATGTCGATTATCTTACGTGTCCAGAAAGAGATAAAAGTGATTTTGGTCTACGCTATAAAAAATATAAGTATGGATTTAACATACGGTGTTTATATAGTTCTTACAGTGTTAGTGTTAACTTAATGCACACCTTAGTTTTTAACACCCTTATTACGCATCATGTATCTTTAGTGTCCTGAATTAATTTTTATCCCTTTTACAAGTATATAAAAATTATTAGGCAATTTTATATGTTGATATTTTTAGAAAGTTGTATATTTATAATAAATTGTACATAAATTGTTTACAATTGTTGTGCATAATATTGTTGTTATAAATTGAAGAAATGAGGAGAACACGAATGATCCAAAGGTGTGTGTTAAGAGTTAATATTAACACCAATATGGTATAATATGGTATAGATTTAAAACTTCTGATATTTACATAAATACTATCATGATATAGATTTAAAACTTCGAGTGCTGTAAATCCACACCTATATTTTTTAGGGTGCACCTGTGTATATATATGCGTATTGTAAGTTTACCATGTGATCCGATTGTATCGCGGCTATATATCATGTGATTTATATGTGTGAGTAGGTGGACCAAAAAATGGAAGGCATTGCTTGATATTAAACATGAACGGTCTAGTAGAGATAAAAAAAATTTTCTTAATCCTAGATCGACAATCTCAGGTTATGACTCGGGAGATTTAACGTGGTATTAAATTGCACGCGAAGTTCTATAATACGTCTTGTTCTTGTGCGAGGATATTCCTAGTCAGACAGCGCGATACGCGGTGAGTTGGATTATCGCGACGACAGGATGAAAAATCGCGTATCGTCTATCACTTAGTCAATGCGAGGTTGAATGAGGAGGCGTTGTTGAGGAGAAGTCAACCGAGTTCAACCCTACTCAATTTAGCGAGCATTTACGATTGCTTGAAGATTAGCAAAAGGTGCTGGTCGAGTACACAGATCGACGCAAGGTCACCATAGGTTCATGTGGGTCTTTCGGGCGGGGGAGGATGATTCGGATAGCGGCTGTTCTCGAGGTGGGTGGTGTCAACGACGCGGGGCGGTAAGCAAGACAGATTACCACCCTCGAGACATTGTTACGAGACGAACGCACCACACCCCATTAGATGTTCGTATATATTGCACAACGCTTTGCTTATCAAGAAAACCCCATAAACATATCGGAATTAATTTCAAAGTAGATTGAATATTTTATTTTTCTCAACTACAAAATTATTCGATTAATTCTGTGTGTGATGTAGTAAAATACATATTCATTTTTTTGAAAATGCACAATGTTTATATAAAAACATTCCCTTCTATAATTGAACTTTATAAAATTTTGATAACGCTCCAAAGTTAAAAGAGAAAAAAAATATGAGGTTCTGTGATACCGCGAAAGTAATTATTAAATACCAGATATTTTGTTTTCACTGCATTATTTTTTAACCAGATTTATCAATTTAGAAGTTTTTATATACAACAAAGAAAATTACCATTTATTGCAATTTCCAATTTTCATTGTTATGCATTTCTTAAATTAAGCTTTGAATTAAAATTTTCTCGTTATTTTGTTGTTAGTGCAAAAGAGTGTCCCTGCACACATTTATGAAATAAAATCACGAGTTTTATGTAATTTTTATTAATCAAATAATTATCACTGACTATAATGTTCTCATTCTTCAAAGAATTCTTTTACCCTAATATTATTTGAATAGAAAATCTCTTGTACTTTAATTTAAAACAAGGAAAGCGGCAGAAAGTGAAGAAAAAAATATTTAAATCCGGAATGTCGACCGCTGATTATTTTCATTGTAAAATGTGAGCGTAGAAATAGGTGTATCTCAACGCAACGGGAGTACAAGGTAACGCAACGAGAACGTGGCGAAACGTTACGAGCGCGTCACGTTGCGTATCATTAAACACGGTAGCAAATGAAGCCGCAACCAACGCGCGTACGCAACACAACGTAGTGTTACGTGCACGCGCATTCTCGTAAACAGTAGTTCTCGCAGTGGTCCGAGGTAAAACGGGGCAGCACCCGAATCAATTGTCAGTGAAGTGATTTACGGTCGTCGCAGCGTCGATCAATTTGCCGCTCGATGTTGGTTCGCCGCGGCTTTTCCACGTGACTTTTGACCCCGTGGCTGCGAGCACCCGCCAGTCTGCGTGCTCAAAAAACAAATTGAGGAATCTGCATTCGAACGCGATCCGAAGGAGATTCTGGCCACCGCGGCGCGATTTATTTCCGGTATCGATCACCCGAAGGGACAACTGTCGCCCGGGATTCTCTATCCCGTTCTGTGTACTGTTCGTCGTTTATGAACGAAGACTTCCTGGAAGGAAAGCTGCGACCACCGATTTTAGGAAAGACTGCTAATCTATCTTGCGTAGAAAGATTAAGAGGAGTTATTGGACCTCGTGAGAAATCGTGTAAATCGTAATGCAGTATCCATAGCGAAACACGACGTGCCACGACGGATTTGAACTTTCCACGCGATCCCACACAAGTCGAGGTGGCACTTAAGCCGTTTCTAACTTATTACGCGAATTCTTTTTTTTTTTCTTGTTCCACCACATAGGCAACCAACATCGAATTAAGGAAAGCAATTACAGATAATGGTCCCAGCGGCACCCAGCGCCGGGACTGCGCGGAGGACTTAGGGAGGAAAAAGGGAGTAAAGCGGAACTGCAAAGGATGGAGAAAAAGGAAAGCCTATCCAAGAGAGATACGAATGTACAGGGTGGTCATTAAGCAGCTGCAGCTTTCCTTTCTCTTCGTTCTTGTGATATCTTTCTCGTTCCTGACCTCCACCGTTTCTCTTTGACTTCCTTTTTCTCTCCTTCCTTCTTTTTCTCTTTTCATCTTCCTCTCCCTATATCTCTCTTATTCGCTTCCCCCTTTCTCTCTCTCTCTCTCTCTCTCTCTCTTCTATGCTCATCTTTTTGGACATTAAGCCGTTACGCGTGCGGTAATTTTCCCGGGGTCATTTTTGCCGCTCTTCTTGCCCGATCGTTAACTTCACTTAGCTCTGTTTACCTCCGTCGTCATTTTTCTCGGTCCACCCTCTAACCCGCACTCCTCCCTCGTCTGTCTCATCCCCCTTTCCTCGTTCCCCGCTCATATTCCCGTCCGGTTTCGCGCTTCTCTCGTTTCCATGGGTGACCTCGTCAGACGTCGCCGAAGCGCCACATCTTTCCACGTGCGCGCCGCTACGTTTTCTCTTCCATTTCCGTTTTTATCGCGTAACCTCGCCCGGTTATTTCGTCCCCGACGGCGATGGCGGTCGCCTTTTTTTTCACGGTCTAGTGGGAAAGTATAATTAGCACCACCCTAGCGTACCCGCGTTTCTCGCCAAAAGCGATTTCCTTCGAAGTTCGCTTTAAATGTACACGGTCCCTTTCATCGTTGAGGCGAAAATCGTAGGATAATAGATCGGCAACGCATTGGGAAAGCGTTCCCAGATTTCGATGATTACTGATATCGAGAAATGAAAACGGGAGTTGACCCACCCTGAGTCGACTTGTAAACTCCAACTCAAGCATCTACGTGGCGTAATCGGAAAGTTTGGAAATTGGTCCTGTTAAATGTAAACTTTATCGATTATCGATACGAGCTTTTAATCTTCATCGTAATAGTCTTTTTCCGTACGTTCGTTCCAGCGGTTTTGCTATTGTTTGAAAGTTGCATCTTTTTTAACCGTTTTACGAAAGCGGCATCATTTAAGAAACACTAATCGATTGTGAATCGGTATGCAATAATAAAATGCATACCGGAGGAATGGCGTGTAATGATGAAATTTTTCCGGCTTTGTAATACGTTATCAACTTCTTACAACGACGATCCTCGTCCGAGATGTTTGAGAAACTGTCGCTCGAAGGTCTGCGCGAATTTTAACTAGCAGTTTGCGCTTGACGGAAAGAAGATTGTTCGAGGGATTGCTAGTCGCTCGTGCGGCGATATTTATTTCTTTCCCGTTTCTCGTATAGACCTTGAAATTAAACATAGTTATATATAACAAATGTTGTATAATATAAACTCCGAAACCTGATTCTTCAGACTCTCCTTTAAAAAAAAAAGTAAACTGAAACGAATGAAATCCTACTCGAATAATGTGGTATCAAGAGTAATTACTTGATTGTAATTCAGTCTAGGTATCTTCTTAAAATAATGCACTAATCTTCCTCAAATTTCGAACCGAAAATTTCACAAACGAATATTCCATGTTATAAAACTATACCTAATTTACAGCGAATGTTGTGAAAATTTTTAATTACTTTGAAAATTAAAAACACGATTCACATCATGCGTACACATAGACTAATAACGTTTTTATCTATAATGAACACGGCCCTTTGTACTCAAAATTATAAATGTCGTGACGTTTATAATCAATTTACACGTAATTAACTTAGCCTGGAAATATATTATCTTTTTCCTTTTTTTCTCTTTTAAGTTGAAGAAATGTGCTGGGTAGATTATTCTTCCGCTTTACCTACGAAAGACAATTATTTTTAAAAATGCTATTCGACTGTGTTGATTTAAGCTGCCTTTATAATTCGCAAATCCAAAACGTAGTTTGCAGACGCAGAATAACAAATCCCGCACGCAATGAATTAAACAACAACAATGTTGCCTTTGAAAGCGTTGACATTTTAATATTATATTTAAGTCGATTTAGAGAAATTTATAATGTGTCTGATATTTTCCGGAAATCACGAAAATATATAAAAAAATCTGACTCTGCTAATAAATGAGGAAATACAAAATTCATTTCCATTACTCTTTGCTGTTCTATCATTGGTCAATTTATTGCAGAAATTAATGTGACAGTCCAGTTCAGTTTATATAGGTCGCAATATA